ATACGGACAGAGATGGAAGAGATCTGAGAAGTCCATTCACTTATGTTTCTATTTGTTCCTCAAATATTTGTTAAGCATCTACTATGCCAGGTCACGAGCTGCAGGGAACAGAAGCAAGGGGATCCCTGATCATGGAGCTCACAGCCAGGTGGGAGTAGACAACAAACAAATACCTGGAAGGCAGGTCTGCAAGGGTGACGGGTTATGAGTGACTGTAACAAGAGGTGATTGATGACCACGAGTGGCTGCTGTGTAATGGGAGTGGGGAGCCTCCCTAAGAGATGGAACATGGGAGCTTGACAAGAACAAGCCAGCTGTGCAGGAATGGGGGTTGCAATACAAGGAGAGGCAAGAACTGGTGCTGGCAGAGAACGTGGCACCTGCCACAGCAAGCAAGGAGGCCCTTGTGCCTGGAGCCAGTGAGCAGTGAGAGAAGACTACGGGAGCAGTGATGAGGCTGCTGTGATGACAGCCCGGGCAGGGAGTGGAGGTGATGGCCAGCCCAGTACCCCTACCTCTTACTGCTGAGAACGTGAGCTCAGCAAGGACAGAGAGGTGCTACTTACTGAGCAACTACCCCGCATCAGGAGCTTTCTAGGCAGCATCTCAAAGCCTCACATCCTGCTGCATAGGAGTCACTGTGCCCATTTTACAGATGAAGCCAGTGAAGAGTGAAGCCACCTGCCTAAGGGCCTAGAGCCACAGGTGGGCAGCAGGGTGGAGCCCAGGCCTGAGGAGGTTCTCCAACTCTTCAAAGTCGTCCCGCAGCGAGATGACCACTGCAGAGTCAGGCTGCCTCCAACCTTGGCTCCAGCACCGAGGAGACCTGTGACCTGGCCCAAGGACCTTCTCCCCTTCTGTGCCTCAGTTTCCCAATCTGTAAAACAGGAATAATGATTGAACCTACTTCAAATAGGTGGGAATGAAATGAATTAATTTATGTCAAGCACTTAGAACAGTGCCTGACCACCAGCATGCCCTTGATGGTAGATATTTACGTTTATAGTTCTGTTGGCCTCAATACTTACAGAAGGGCAAAGCTGAGATGCTAGTTCACCAGCCTCCCGGGGTGGAGTCCACCTCACTCACAGCAGGTGCAGGTGCATCAATTAAGAGGTTGCCAGGGCCAGGCGCGGTGGCTCACATCTATAATACCAGCACTTTGGGAGGCCAAGGCAGGCAGATCACTTGAGGTCAGGAGTTCAAGACCAGCCTGGCCAACTTGGCAAAACCCCATCTCTACTAAAAATACAAAAATTAGTCAGGCGTGGTGGCACATGCCTATAATCCCAGCTACTCAGGAGGCTGAAGCACGAGAATCGCTTGAACCCGGGAGGTGGAGGTTTCAGTAAGCCAAGATCACACCACTGCACTCCAGCCTCGGTGGCAGAGTGAGACTCTGTCTCAAAAAAAAAAAAAAAAAGTTGCTGAGAGGAGAGGAGGTTTACCTTGGGCCCCCTGCACACTCCTTGCTGGGGATAGGGGCTGGATAAGGAAGCCATAGACCCCTGGAGAAGATCTCCAGGCTCCTTCTAATGTCTGCCCCAGGCCAGGGCTCCTGTTCTGGCATCACTCTCTGTCCCTGTTATCATGGGGGCCTACCCTCAGCCAACCAGCCGAAGGATCAGTGACCACCCATGGTCCTCAAAGTATCCCATCCACATGCACCCTAAAATGGGCAGGCAGGGCTCAGACTAAACGCGAGGACGCTGAGCGGCAGCTATGTGCCCAAGGGGCATGGCAAGGCCAAGACTAGGTGGCCTAACCTTGCTACCCCACCCCACACTCAGCCCCTCCCTCTGGGGTCCAGATGGGTCACTTCGGCACAGGGCACAGGGAGCTTCCTAACTTCCCAGGCAGACACGCAAAGGGTTAAACTCAGACTCCCTCCTTCCTCCATCCCAATTCTGATCCTTGCTGACTCTGCTCCCCCTCCCTACCCCCAGCTATTCTGGGACAATGGAGGCAGCAGATGGCCCAAGTCCCGTTCCCTCCACCCGACCCTCAGGATCTGGGAGCAACCCGAAAATCTGCTGCTGCGTCTAAATGTGGGCCGACGAGCAGCCTTCCCTGGGTGGGGTGGGGAGGACGGCGGCTATGGATGGCACCATTCCAGCCCCACTGGGCTGCAGGGCCAGAGGCTGCCCTCACTTGACTGGCATCCCATAAACCCAGCCCTGGGCCAGCCCAGAAAGAAACGGGGCTTTGGAGAAACACAAGAGGCCGGCTGCACCCAACTCACTGTGTGACCACAGCACGTGGCAGTCCCTCTCCGGACCGCTCCTCCCTGGAAAACAAGGGGCCAGCTTCAGGTGCTCAGTGGTTCCAGATGTCCCCAACACAGATGTAGCCAGAAGACAGTTTCTAATTCTTCAGGGGTGGAGCCCCTGGCCCTAGCTCCCTGTGTCAGGGCCCCTCTGGCCCTCAGGATCCCTCCTCTTCCTTCCCCATCCGAGAGCCCCACTATGACTCCAACTCCTAGCATCACTGGGCATGATACAGACCTCCCCTCTCTAACCCTTCCCTGCCTACATGCCGCCATACCTGAAATTTCACCATGATCACTTTCACTCATCCATCCACCTCCTTGGGATCCGACATTCCAAGGGCACTTGTGTTTATTCAGTTCCTGCCCTTTGCTGTCAAATCGCCCTTTGGCACCATTATCTGATACCTGAGGCTAAGTCCCTCAGCCCGGAGTCTCCATTCCGCCTTCCCTGATTCTCTGACCTCCCCCAACCCAGGGGCAGAGAAAAGGAGGAACCACTCCACACCTCACAGCACACACGCTCACATGTACACATCATGTACACATGTGCAACACAGCCACAAAAACACACACCACAGGCTGGGCGCGGTGGCTCACGCCTGTAATCCCAGCACTTTGGGAGGCCGAGGTGGGCGGATCTCAAGGTCAGGAGATTGAGACCATCCTGGCCAACATGGTGAAACCATGTCTCTACCAAAAATACAGAAATTAGCTGGGCATGGTGGCACGTGCCTGTAATCCCAGCTACTCAGGAGGCTGAGGCAGGAGAATTGGGAGAATTGCTTGAACCCGGGAGGTGGAGGTTGCAGTGAGCCAAGATTGTGCCACTGCACTCCAGCCTGGTAACAGAGTGAGACTTTGTCAAAAAACAAAAACAAAAACAAAAAAAAATGTACATCTTTATGCACAGACACATGTAGAAGGTACATGCCACACACACACACACACCTGTGCACTGCCTCACACACTATGACTCACAAACACACTAGTAACAGTCACCATCCACTGTGCCCTTCCTTTCTCTGTGCCAGGCTCTGTAACATGGTCTTTGCACGCATCATATCACACCACCAAAAGTGACTGCCATCTCCACTGTGATAGACAGATAAAGACCCTACCCTCGTCAGGAACATTTTGGCTGCATGTAACAGAAAACTGGACCAAGAGAGACTTAAACAAATAAGCATTTAATTTTCGTACAGAACCAGATGCTGGAGGGAATAGCTGGGATGATTGTCTTGGCCTTTCCTTCATGGTAGCAAGGTGGCTGCCCCAGATCCAGCCATCACACCCACATTCACAGCAGGAAGATGGGAAGTGGGCTGCAAAACCTTCCCCAGAAATGTCTCTATTGGATTTGCTTAGTTCCCTCTGGCCAGAGCTGGTCCCATGGTAACCCCTAACAGCAAGGGAGGCTGGGAAATGAGCAAAAAGGATCATCACGATTGGCTGGGACCCATTATGCTCCATCATCTGGGTCCTAGCATTCTGAGGATCCAAACCAAATCTGGTCCTGTTAGCAAGGGGTGGGGAGCAAGGAGCTTTGGGAGACTGGTTGGCAACAACAGCAGGTGCTTCAGACCCTGGATTCTGCCATCATTTCCATATCCCTTCAGGAACTCAGGACCCAGGCGAGGGAGGCAGGAGCTGTCTCTTATACACATCTAGATGTGTATAAGAGACAGGGTGAAGCCAGCCCATCAGTTGGTGGAGATGCTGGGAGGGGTCAAGCATCAGTTCTGGCGTTCGACTGATGGGCCCAGAGTCCATGTGTCCCCTCCCCCTACTCCTCTCCACCCCCATCCCACCACCCCTGGCCAGCATCACAAGCCATAGCTGGGCCGGGGGCAGCGGCTCATGCCTGTAATCCCAGCACTTTGGGAGGTCGAGGCAGGTGGATCACTTGAGGTCAGGAGTTAGAAACCAGTCCGGCCAACACGGTGAAACCCCGCCTCCACTAAAAACACAAAAATTAGCCAGGCATGGTGGTAGGTGCCTGTAATCCCAGCTACTCGGGAAGCCGAGGCAGGAGAATCGCTTGAACCCGGGAGGTGGAGGTTGCAGTGAGTTGAGATCGCGCCACTGCACTCCAGCCTGGGCGACAAAGCGAGACTCCATCTCAAAAAAAAAAAGAAAGAAAAAGGAAAAAAAAACAGCCATGGCTGGCAGGTGCTGGTGTGTGGAAAGGAAGCTGCATATCACAGGCTATGTTCCAAGACTGCTCTAGACCAGTCAGGAGCAGATTTGAGTGGCCCATCTTCCCGTGGCCAGTTCTGGGCAGAACTGGAAGGCATTATTCTAACCCTTTACCTACCTAAAAGAAGCATTTAAGAGTATCAAAGAAACAATAAGTCCAAAAGAGATAAAATAAAAATCCCCCATTAGAACCTGAAGTTCCACCATGAGAGCATTGCCTGTGCTCAGGGAAGGCATTTCAGCCTTCCAGGGACTCCTGAAGAACCCAGAGGATTGGGGCTGGGAGAGCTCTTCAGATCCACGATGGCCAGCGTCCAGGTGTTACTAATGGGAGACTGAGTCCCAGAGAGGGCAAGACACTTGCCCAAGGTCACACAGCAAGTCAGTGGCAGGGTCAGAAACTGAAATCCACTCCGTCCACTCCTAGCTCTGCGCTATCAGCCACCAAAACCTGTCCAACTCCGCTCCCTCCCAGCTCCCCCATGTTTGGATGCCTGGACTCAGCCCCCACTCCTCCCATCCAAGGTTCCAGCCCTCAGACCCACCTGGAGGGGTCCTCCTCCGGGGAGAAGGGGCCCTGTAGCTTAATGACGTTGAGTTTCCCCTCAAAGACACCGTAGCTGAGGGTGACCTGGGCAGGGAGATAGAAGAGTGAGTGTTGGGGTGTCACACTGGGGATCCCCACAAGGGGGCAGCATCCTGGCACAGGTGGAGGAGGGCGTTTAAGCTGCAGGGAAAGTTGCCCCGGAACCTGAAATTCCCCACTGGTGGTGGGAGCCCACCCCACGCCCCAAGGCACTTCACAGCTGGAAAAGCACTGCCATGCCCTTAATCCCATTTGCCCCCTCGAGAGTTGAGCTCCCCTGAGAGGCTGGAACAATACCGCACCTACAGATTTGGAAACTGAGGCTCAACAGGAAAAGGCACCTTTCCAGTAAGCTGCATGCCTGGACTAGAATGGAGGTTTTCTGAGACTCACTGGAGGGCCCTGGCACATCCCTCTTCACCCGGAGCCTGCACTGCACCAGTCAGTGACGACATAGATCATGATTTCAGCTCAGAGGCTGCAGAGCACAGTGGTTAAAGACTGTGGGCATAGGGACCACCCAGCTAGGGTTCCAGTGCCCCTCTGCCCCATATTAGCTGTGTGCCGTGGTCAGTTCAGCTCGCTGGGTCTCATTTTCCCCATCTATAGAATGGGGATAATGTTAGTAATGACCTCATGTAAATACTGTGAGGAAACAGAGAGTTAAAGAAGGGTGGCTGGGCTCGGTGGCTCATGCCTGTAATCCCAGAACTTTGGAAGGCTGAGGCAGGTGGATTACTTGAGGTCAGGAGTTCGAGACCAGCCTGGCCAACATGGAAACCCTGTCTCTGCTAAAAATACAAAAAATAGCCTGGCATGGTGGTCGGTGCCTGTAGTCCCAGCTACTCAGGAGGCTGAGGCAGGAGAATCACTTGAACCCGGGAGGTGGAAGTTGCAGTGAGCCAAAATCGTGCCATTGCACTCCAGCCTGGGCAACAGAGTGAGACTCCATCTCAAAAAAAAAAAAAGGAAGAAGAAGAAGAAGGGAAAGCCCCCAGCGTGGTGCCTGGCATTGTGGGTACTCAGGACACCCTAACCATTAGGGTGACCTGGTGTGGGCTGCCTCAAATCTGCCTCCTTTTCCTGGCTTCAGGCCCTGCCATCTTAATAGGACCAACCTCACACCCCAGTTCCAGGCCTGGCCAATCAACACTAACTCCAGGTGCTGGTAGGAGATCGGTCACGTGACCCAAGCTAAGTCGTCAGACCCATGAATGCCAGCCCTGGGATCTGAAGGAAGGAGGCGCTCTCCTCCAGTGGTGGGGGAACGCTGGGGCTGCCATCTTGCCAACATGAAGGCTGAGCCCGCTTGAGGACGGGCCAACTTGGGGGAGAGCGGACTAGAGTGGAGAGAGTCTGGGAGGCCATCTGCATGCCTAGACCCCGCCGGACCTAGCCAGCCAGGCCCTCAGCTTCTCAGTTATGTGAGCCAACCATTTCCTTTTCAGGTTAGCCAGTCTATGTTGAGTTTCTGTCACACTGTTAGGCAGGAGATTCTGGGGACACTCCCAGCCAGGACCATCTACAGCGTCAGAGGGCAGCCTCTCCGAGGCAGAGCCAGTTGGACCTGCATTACCTGTCAGGTGGTGGGATGGGGTCCCCCTTCTCCCCCAGCCTAACGTAATGCTGAGCATCCCCCCGAAGACCCACTCCATCCCGGTAACCTCAGGGTTGGCAGGAACAGCACTGAGCAATGGATAGGGGAGTTTTGATGAAGGAGGGGGCTCCCAACGGGGAAAATCAGAAAGGGCCAGCTGGGCTCCCCGGGAGGAATGTGGGGAGGATGGAAGACTGAGTAGAGGCAGCGGTGGGGAGCAGGGTGTTGGGAACCTGGAGACAGCCTCATCTCATCTGTTCAGGTCCTTCCGGCTGGCATTTGAGGACCAGATCGAAGAATTTCAGCTTCACAAATGCTAATCCTTGAGGGTTAGAGGTGAAGGGGTTGAGTCCCTGTGTACCCTTAGGGGGTCCTTTGCCACCCTAGGCCTCAGTTTCCCCATCAATAGGGAACAGCCAAGCCCCATAATCTGGAGTTCCAGGTTTCTTTCACACACCAGGAGGGAGGGTTGGGGAGACCTCACGTTCCTTTGGTTCCCCCTTCCCATTTGCCACCTGCCCCAAGGCCAGCTCACCTGTTCTGGGAGCTGCGCAGTCCTCAGCAGCTGCAGGGTCTCCAGGTGGGAGTGGAAGAGGGGGCTGGGCTGCAGGCGGCCGCCCAGCTTGCACTCAATGATATAGCCCATGGTGCAGTCATCAGGCAGCCGGATGAGAGCAGATGTGTCCATGAAACGGGAGCCACTGAGGGACAGAGCCAGACTGTAGACACCGGCCCAGGCCCTCCACACCCAAAGCCGTGGGCTACCCTATGAAGGCCCTCCCCTGGGACAAGCTGGCAGAGCAGAGCAGAGCACCTGCCTCCTGCTTACTGTATGACCTTGAGCAAGTTGGGAACCTTGGGGAGCCTCAGCCTCAGTCTCCTGTTCTATGAAATGGGGATGCTAATGGCCCTGTCTTCAGGGGGCTGTTGTGAGGATTAAACAGGGAATGGGAAGGTGAGGCCCTTTATAAATGTAGCCTTTCCTTCTCTCCCTGTCTTGTTATTCATTCATTCACTCATTTATTCATTGCTGATGCCAGATACTACGCTAGGGCTGAGGATACAGAGATGAGAAAGAAACGTTTCCTGCCCCCAACAGCAGTCCCTATTCTGGAGGGAGACAGAGCAGGGAGCAGGTCTTTCAAAGAATGGTGCTAAGTCAGAGGGAAGCACGCTGCCTGGGGGTATAGGAAGAATCAGGCAGGCTTCCCAGAGGAGGTGGTAGCTTTTTTGTGTGTTTGTTTGTTTGTTTGTCTGTGTGTTTGTTTGTTTGTTTTTGAGACACAGTCTCCCTTCATTGCCCAGGCTGGAGTGCAGTGGTGCAATCTCGGCTCACTGCAACTTCCACCTCCCGGGTTTAAGCAATTCTCCTGCCTCAGCCTCCTGAGCCCGCCGCCACACCCGGCTAATTTTTGTATTTTTAGTAGAGACGGGGTTTCACCATGTTGGCCAGGCTGGTCTCAAACTCCTGACCTCAAGTGATTCAC